GACAAGCGGATGGACGGACATAGAGAAAGACAGACGGACGGACCAATCGACTCAGAAAATGATTCTGAGTCGGTTGCTATAGTTCCATTAATTCTACAAACATCAGCACAAATCCAATATACTAAAGTGGTGTAAGGTATGAAAAACATATTATCTGTACAATAACTTTCCAACATTGACTGACTATTGACACATTAAAATAATGGACTTTAATTAGTTTCATTATAAACTAATTACACAATAGGAGAAAATTGCTTAAAGATCGGTTCGTTGAGGCAATCAAATTCCACAACATATTAGTTTTTTGCTGTGTAGAATATGTAATTAACAAATTATAAAACCATGAGCAGGTTTACTTATTTAAACATTTATTTTTCTTTATTGATCATAATATCAACAGCTGAATAATATGTTTCGCAGTTTAATTTTAACACTACTCTTTGGACTTTTTATTTCGGTAAGATCTAGTGAATTTTTTCGAAAAATTAAAAATTATTTAAAAATTCTATTTTAGACCACCTGCAGTAAGACGTATTTGAAAACTGTTAAACTTGAATGCTTTGGAAATTTAAAATATGTCTATGGTAACCATACGTGTCGCCTTAAACCTATAAATCGCTTTAAGGCTGTTGGAATGATGGAGGTGCATGCTAGAGTCGAATTGCGTAATATATCGGTAAGTAATGATATAAATATAAAGATATTTTTCCAAACTCATCATTTTTAAATACTCTTTTTATTCTAAATTTTCAGTTTAATTTGGCCCTTTTTGCTCGTAATAGTGCTAATATTTTTAAACCTTATTTGTTTAATGTAACAACAAATATTTGTAAATGGTTCGTCCATAGAACTCCCGGTGCTTATGCAAATGTTTTAATGAACGTTTTAAAACAATATACAAATATTAATCATTCCTGTCCTTATATAGTAGGTGATATCTGAAGCTATTTTTAAATTATATTTAATAATTAAAAATATTCTAATTTCAGGGTCCTATAATTGCAAGAAATTTATATTTAGATGTAGGTATAATACCCGTACCGTTTCCAAGAAATTCCTATAAATTTAATGTGATATTTTATGAAGGACAAGAGCATATTGGAACTGTGGTATATTATATGGATTTGATTGAGACTCGTAATTAATATTTGTAAATATAGATGTATGTATGTATATATATTTTTATATAATTGTAATATGTATTGCTGGCATATGTGTGTAAATGTAATAGTTATTTTTTTTAATCTAAGATAAAGTACTTCAATATAACAATTAAAACATTATTACAAAGTTTTTGCTGGGTACTTATTGAAAAAAGTATGAGCAAATAAATAATTTTCTTACATTTTAATTATATGTCAGTTTATCGACCTCCCTTTTAGTAGATATTATGATTATGAAATGTCGGTCTGTATGTCTGTCCTGCTGCTAAAACATTAGAAAAATTTTGTATGAAAATTTGATTTATAAACCTTTGATAAAAGTTCATGAATAAGGCCCTTTAATAGCGTGGTACTAGTCGAAATTTCAAACAGAGAGCTTTATAAAATGCTACATCGAGGTACAATCACAAATATGGGATTTATTTTCTAATAATTTTAGGTCAAACTAAAAATACATCAACATATAGATACCCAGCAAAAACTTTCATTGCCATGTAAAGTGTTAAAATATTAAAATTTGACTCCGATGGTATTGGAGGCAGCAAAAACTTTCATTGCCAAGTAAAGTGTTAAAATATTAAAATTTGACGCCGATGGTATTGGAGGCAAGTATTTACTACGCCCTCTTACAAATAGGGAGTTAAATAAATAGTTACCATGAACGTTTGCTAATAAGGAGTTAGTTTTGATTAAAAAAAAAAATAGCCTGAGGATAAGTCCCCTACGTCTACAAATAGTACCCCTGCGGGAAACTTGCATCAATTGAAAAATTGGATCAATTTGTATCAAATAATCCTATTAACCTCCTCGTAGGACATCGCCATATTTAAGTGACAGGTTCTCTCTATATAAAGTGTGAGAACTAGAACCGGTCCCTAGCACTTTAGAACTGACATGTTTCGTGTCAGTTCCCTACCCCGCAGGGTAACTACTTACATATATAGTTATTCATAGTTCATTACGAGACTGCTGCTAAGTAATACAGACGGCATTTAAGTCATTGAATAGTAATCACACCAGGGTGATTTTCGGAACAGGATTTTTTAAGGTCCAAAATCCCCAAATTTAAAATGATGATTTATTTTTAAGAGTAAATAATTTTTTGTCGAATTTAATCTGAATACCATATATTGACAATAAATTGATTTCTTGTAAATGGGGTTGAATGCAAGACTAAAAACTTAATTGGGTGGAGTTTTATAGCTATATTAATATATATGGGTCATTTCGTGTCAAGTGACCCAACTTTAAAATTCGATGTCTTCCGATTTTGATGAAATTTGCACCAAGGTAAGTGGTATTGGATAGCAGGCCAGACATAAAGATAATGGTCTAAAGGTCTTAAAGGAAATGGTCTAAACTTTCATTTGAGCAAAAAAAAAGCAACAAAAACGTCCATTTTGAAGAAATAGGGGAAAATTAAGTACCAAATATTGAAAAAATCTTATTCTTAATTTAAAAAATATTTCATTTCATAGATATCCCACTCGCATCCCATTATGGGACTATAAAGACCTTAAAGTAAATTGTCTAAGCTTTCATTTGAGCAAAAAAAAATAGCTTAGAACTATATAATCAAATATGTAAGAATGTATGGTCGGGTATAGTAGTATGTTAAAAATGTGGATTATTTATACCCTACACCACAATAGTGGGAAGGGTATTATGCGTTTGTGCTGATGTTTGTACCAACCAAAAATATTAGTCCTATACCCACCTTTAAATATACCAATCGCCTCAGAATCACTTTTTGAGTCGATTTAGCTATGTCCGTCCGTCAGTCCATCTATGTGTCCATGTAAACCTTGGCACATTCTACAGGTAACAATTTTCATTATTTCGTATAGCCCCGATACAAACGTACCCCCGAATAAGGAGTTTGAGCTCATAAATATGTATGTTAAATGTTCTTGTATCACACAAAAAATCTGTAAAACTTAGTCTTAAGTCTTAATGATCAGTCCTCATTTGACCCTGTCCCCAAATGGTCAAAAATTTACTTATAAACACCAATGCAGACTTAAATCCCTCTACCAAAATTATAAAGGATATTAACCCCACATATAACCGCACTTTTAGAAAATCCCTTTTTGTCAAAATATTGTTAAAATAATCACTAGTGTAGGATATCACATGGTCGGCAATGTCCGACTATAAATTCTTACTGTTTTTAAAAATAAAGTATTTAATTTGTGAGTGATTTTCTGAAAGAGGTGTTACACGGGGTCAAGGGTAAATGTTGATAGATGGATTTACGTTCACATAAAGTTATTTATGCGGAATTTTGTTATTCAGAAATATTTTAACAGTATTTTGACAAAAAGGGATTTCTAAAAGAGATTTACGTTTCACATAAAAGTTATTTATTTATTTTGTAGTAATGTAGTGGGGCTTCAAGCTCCCCACATTGAAAGTCCGCCCGTTATGCTCTAAATGTCCACATGAATTTCAAAGTTCTTCATGTAATAGTTTCTAATAGTTTCTCAGATATACGAATTTTTCTATCTGATTCATATGGGAGCTTCAAGCCCCCCAAATGAAAGTCCGCTTTTTTTTTCCTCCACAATGTTCAGATGAATATTTAAGTTTTTCGGGCAAAATTTGAATAATTTAGTTCCATTGGTTTTCCAGATAAAAGAATTTTTGTCTTTAATTAATATGGGAGGTGCCGCTCCCCTCATGGATAGTCCGCCAATTTATTACCCAAAATGTTTGGATGTTAAAGTTATTCGTGCAAAATTTGAAGATTCTATCTGTAATAGTTTCCAAGATAAACGAATTTTTGTATTTAATTTATATGGGAGGTCCTAAATAATTATATTGACACTAAAGTTGCTCCAATAAAATTTGAGGACTCTAACTGTTATATTATCTCAAATATACGTATTTAATATTTTCTTAATATGGGGTATTTTCTTAATATGGGCCTATTCCAGACATACAGGAATACGCTATGAAAATTTTAATAAAATCGGTTCAGCCGTTTAGTAGTCTATAACGTTCAAACATACAAACAAAAACACATTAATTTTTATATATATAGATTATTGTACTTCAAGACATTTTCTGAGGGGGACAAATGAAGCCTGATCATCACGAAAATTGGCAGTAACATTTAGACTTATATAAAGCTAAGTTCTGCCGATATTTTCAGAGATATATACTAAAACATTTAACATAGTAATTATGAGCTCAAGAGGCCTATTCGAGGGTCACTGTTTCAACCATTTTCAAAAGACCTTCGTCCTTGGAACAAGAAAAAAGTATGTGCATAGCTTAATCGATTTCGTAATTCTGAGCCTATTGTCATACTTTAAGGTGGGTGTATGACCAATATTTTATCTTTAAAATCACGACCTGTAGCGTGCGCACAAAGTTTACATTAACACTAACGGATGGAGAGACATAGCTTAATCAATTCATAAAGTGATTCTGAGCCTATTAGTATACTTTAAGGTTGATGTTTTGCTTATTACAAAAATCAGCGCAAACGTACTATGCGTTCCCCAATGTAGTGGCATAGTGTATAAAGATTTCATCGGAATTACAAGATAACGCATGAAACGACAACAGTAAAATTGACAATTAATTTGATTTTCTCTGTGTAGAATAAGTAATTAACTAATTATATAATTTTATAATTTTGAAATAGTTTATTATAAAACGTATGCATTATTGATCTATTGCTGATCTATTTCAAAATATGTTTCGTCGCTTAATTCTAACATTAATTTTTATACTTTTTATTATGGTAAGATCTGGTGAATTTTTCCTAAAAAAAATAAAAAAAAAAAAAATTATAACTATAAAACTTTATTGTAGAACGTCTGTGGCAAGATGTATATGAAAACTGTTAAACTTGAATGCTTTGGAAATTTAAAATATGTCTATGGTAACCATACATGTCGCCTTAAACCTATAAATCGTTTCAAGACCGTTGGCATGATGGAGGTGCATGCTAGGGTTGAATTACGTAACATATCGGTAAGTATAGATAATATATGAAAAAAAAATATAAATATTTATTTCTTATTCTCAATTTACAGTTTAATTTCGCCCTTTTCGCTCGTAATAGTGCCAATATATTTAAACCCTATTTGTTTAATGTAACAACGAATTTGTGTAAATGGTTTGTTCAGAGATCTCCCGGTGCCTATTCAAATATACTAATGAATGTCTTTAAGCAATATACCAACATTAACCATTCGTGTCCTCTTGTGGTAGGTGCTAGCTAAAGCGGTTTTTTAAATTATTTTTTCTTTACTTAAAGTTTTTTTTTTTAATTTAAGGTCCAATAATTGCAAGAAATTTATATTTAGATGTGGGTATAATACCAGTACCGTTTCCAAAAATTCCTATAAATTTAATGTGATCTTTTATGAGGGACTTCAAAATGTACAAGAGCATATTGGAACTGTGGTATATTATATGGATTTAATTGAGACTCGTCATTAAAATTTATCAATTTATTATAATTGTTTATTAGCGTCACTAGTATATGTATGGGTGTTAGTTTTGATGTTTAATAATGTAAGATAAAAATCCTTTTGAAGCACTTTAAAAGTCCAAAGAAGGATTTTTATTATATATAATATTAGACAGTTTTTTATATTTTGTTTATATATGAGCTTAATCTTATTAGATTATATTTACTTAATATGGGAGATGCCAAGCCCCCTATTGATAGTTCGGCCATTCGTGCACAAGGATGCCAAAGTTCTTCATGCAAAATTTGTAGATTCCAGCTCTTATAGTTCCCAGATATACGAATTTTGGTTATTTAATTTATAGTTCGCCCATTAGTGCACAAGGATGTCAAAGTTCTTCATGCAAAATTTGAGGATTCTAGCTCTTATAGTTTTCCCAGATATACGAATTTTTGTTATTTAATTTATATGTGAGGTGCCGCGCCCACTAAGGGCCTAGCTATAGACAATTAATCTCCATGTGTTGATATGGAATCATTGTTCAGATAAATGTGCCGAATCTTACTATCCCATCATCAAATCGTATCCCGTAAAGGAATACCAATATATAAGCATCATCATGTATATAGGACTTAAGTCAATTATGGACGTGCTCTTGCGAATTAACAATTATTATTTAATTTTTAAAAACAAAATATTTTTCTCTAATTTGTAAACCATAAAACATGTCCAATTATAGATCGTTTGTCATAATTTTATAAAATTATTTGTCCGAATTTCATCGCTGTTCCAGTATTTTAATCATTTTATGAGCATAAAACTAATTTTGTAAAGGGGACTGTATTTTTGGTGTAAAATGTCGTATTTTTATCGGATTACTCTTTCCTGAAGGGAACCTTAAATAGGGTCTAGGATAAGCTAGAGCGATTTGTGTTCATATACAACTTGTTTATTTCGAAATTCATCTTGGTACTGCCTTTTTAAGCCAGTAATTAGCGTTAAAGCAAATTTCTAAAGGGGACCTTATATGGGGGTAGGGTCAATTATTGACTGATCATAATATCAATTTGTAACACCGATTTGGTTCATATAAAATTTTTCATATCGAATATCATCGCTGCACTCACATTTGTATGCCAAAAATTAGTAATTTTCTGATGGGGACCTTATATTTGGAGGTAGGGTCAATTATGGACCGATCCTTATAAAATTTTGTAGAGAAATTTCGGCTCGTATAGAACTAATTTTTGTCGAATTTCATCTCTGTACTCGTATTTTTAAGCTAGTAAAGAGCGTTTAAGTTTTTCTATAAAGGGTACCTTATATGGGGGCTAGGGTCATTTATGGGCCGATCCTCATAACATTTGGTAGAGAGATTTTATCTCGTATAAAACTTATTGGTGTCGAATTTAATCGCTAGACTCGTATTTTTAAGCCAGAAATTAACGTAAAAGTAATTTTCTGAGGCGACCTTATAGGGGGTATAGGTGGCTAGGGTCATTTATGGGCCGATCCTCATTACATTTGTTAGTGAGAACTTATTGGCGTCGAATATCATCACTGTACTCGTATTTTTAAGCCAGTATTGAGCGTCAAAGTAATTTTCTGAAGGGGACCTTATAGGGGAGTACAGGGAGCTAGGGTCATTTATGGACCGATCCTCATTACATTGTTAGTTAGATTTTATCACGTTTAAAACTTATTGGTGTCGAATTTCATCATACTCGTATTATTAAGTCAGAAATGAGCGTAAAATTCATTTTTTGAAGGGGACCCTATAGGGGGGTAGGGTCAGTTATGAACCGATCCTCATAACATTTGGTAGAGAGATGTTGGCTCTTATAAAACCTCTTTGTGTTGAATTTCATCGCTATACTCTTACTTTTAAAACAGTAATGAGTGGTAAAGTCATTTCTGAAGGGGACCTTATATGGAGGGTAGGGTTAACTATGGGCCGTACCTCATTTATGGAGAGATTTTGAATATAAAACTTATTTATGTAAAATTTCATCGCCATACTTTTACTTTTAAAACTGTTATGACGGTTTAAGCTGTTTTTCGGGAGGCCACTTGTATGTGGGCTATGCGAAAACGTGGACCCATATTGCCCATTACAAATCTTATTTTAGCATATAGCTCATTCCGTTCGGACTCTATCGTGCTTTCAGAGACAGACAGACAGGAGTACAGACGGAAGGACGGACTGGCTAATCGTCTTAGAAGTTAATAAGGGACCCTGAATATATATAATTTTGTGGGTCTATGACCAATATTCGGTGTATTACAAACGGAAAGACAAAACAATATACCTGCCATCTTTTTTGATTATAGTTTATTTCCACAAACATAGTTATATTCTCTATGTAGTACAAGTAATTAAGTAATTATATAACATTAAAGCTGTTATTTGTTTATAAAATTTATTCATTACTGATCTCACTATCTACAATACAAACAGCTAAAACGTTTTCACAATATGTTTCGCAACTTAATATCGGCATTAATTTTTGGACTTTTAATCACGGTAAGATCTGAGGAATTTTTCCTCAAAAATTAACCAAATAATAATTTTAAAACTGTATTATAGACCATCTGCAGTAAGACGTATTTGAAAACAGTTAAAATTGAATGTTTTGGAAATTTAAAATATGTCTATGGTAACCATACATGTCGTCTTAAACCTATAAATCGCTATAAAACTGTTGGAAATGATGGAGGTACATGCTAGGATTGAATTGCGTAATGTATCGGTAAGTAAAGATAATTTCTATAAATAAATATATATTTTTTTATATTTATTCCTAACTTTCAGTTTAATTTCGCCCTGTTTGCTCGCAATAGTGCTAATATTTTAGACCCTATTTGTTTAATGTTACAACGAATGTGTGTAGATGGTTCGATCATAGAGCTCCCGGCGCCTATTCTAATATACTAATGAATCTTTTAAAACATTTACTAACGTGAACCATTCTTGTCCCTATATAGTAGGTGTTATCTGAAGAGCTTTTCTAATAGTTTTTACTTATTTAAATTATTTTAATTTTAGGGCCCGATAATTGCAAGAAATTTATATTTAGATGTGGGTATAATACCAGTACCGTTTCCAAGAAATTCGTATAAATTTAATGTGATTTTTATGAAGGTCTTCAAAATGTACAAGATCATATTGGAACTGTGGTATATTATATGGATTTAATAGAGAGTCGTCATTAATATGTATAAAATTAGTGTTGTTGGGTAAAAAAAAAAATCCAAAAAATTTTTACATATAAATCAAATTTGTAAAAACTTTCTAAGTATCAGCATATAATAGACCGGGAATTGCATAACTATAAAATTTTATAAAGATATAGTAAAACGAATTTGAAATATTTAATTAGTTTAATTATAAATAGCTTTTATATATATATACATAGAAAATAATTTTAAAAATATCTTTTTTTTTAATCAAATTAAATTTAGTTAATCTAAATTTAATTACACTAATCAAAATTCTAATAAATAAAAAAAAATTATGGATTTTTTATGCTTTAAATTAAGAACGTAATAAAATGAATTAATAAATATTAGTTTAAAAACCGCCATATGAATATTTCATTCAATCCATGCAGAAAATTATTTCTATGATTCAAACTACAAAGAGGGTTCCAAATCGACACCAAATTTTTTAATAACATCCGTTGTCTAGTATATTCATATGTACGACAACACTATGTAATGTTGACAACGCAACGTTCCTAATATGTGTTGGCGTACTTTTTAGGCGTAAAACAGAACAACTTCTTAACTGCCTATTTGTAATGACTAATTTAACTACATATGGGTTTAGCTTCTCCTTAAGTATTCGTTGTTAATCCAATACAAGCCGAGTATTGTGTAAATAAATATCGAGACTTCAAACTCTATATAAAAATTGTTCCAGTGACACATGGGTGAATCCAACTTTTGAGAATTGTGCGAACCACAATGTCAACACATTAATAATATTGAGAACTTTCTTTAGATTTTAGGAAATATTCTTACTTTTCTAAAAACTATAATAAGAATCTCATCAAAATATTTATTTCAGAATCAGGTTTGGGGAATATAAACTTTGATATGGTATAAAATTTTTCCAAAAATAGTACTAATCTAGACTAAATTACTTCTGGCTTTATCATTTATTGACTACTCAACTGAGTCTATGGACTAGTCTATTGACTTATCTATCGGCAGTTTATTGATTACTTTTTTGACTGGTCTATGAAAATACTATATATTGCATAGTTCACTGGATTAGTTTATTGACTAGTCTATGTAATAGTTTATTGAATAATGAATGGACTTACATAAGGACTAGTCTATATACCAGTATATGGAACAGTCTATGTACCTATCTATGGTCTAGACCAGCGGTTCCCACCATTTTTTACTTCGCGGACCCCTTGAGGAATTTATTTAATTTCACGGACCCCCATACATATTTTGATATCTTATTGTTATAAATAACACTGTGATACAAAGTGAAGAAAAATAAAATGCAGGCGTTCTCATATACCAATTCTATTTCGTTATAGTCCATAGAGTACGAATATATTTTTAGTTTTCCCCTATCACTTCGTTAACTTACTTTTAAGAGCAAAAGATGCGAAAAAGAGCCATTTTTGAAGTTTTAAATTTGAAAAATCATAAGTTTAGTAGTTTTCATCCGATTTTCAAACCCGATTTTTTTTAATGATACAAGTGTCTTTTAATCCAAAAAAAGAAATCCAAAATTCATGGTCAAATGTCTGAGTTACGGTCGTTTAAGTAAAAAAACTCACACTTTTTTAAAAAATTTTCATTTTCATCATGCTCTACTTTGACCATGAGGCAGTGAGTTCATCTTTTAT